GCAGTGATGGTACCTGACCCTCTTGCTCCAGCTTGCTCCCAGCTGGTCAGTCTGGGATGTAAGGTGACACACCAGAGGTTGCTGCTCTCCAGAAAGAAGCAGGAAATCAGCCTTCAGGGCAAAATTTATCTGCTCCAGTGAATTTCAGTTATGGCAGCTGCAAGACAGAGTCAGAAAGTCCTTTTGCACTCCCCAGCTTCTTGTGCATAAGGAGAGTTAGGCTCATCATGCTTAGCTGCACCATGGTTTTTCCTGCTGCATCTTATTTGCTGTACACTCATCTCTTCCCTGCAGTGCATGGGGACTTAAAGGAGTCTGGTCTCTTATCATAGAATATCACAGAACCATAGAATATTGCAAGTTAGAAGGGACCCTCAAGGATCATGGAGTCCAACTCCTGGCTCCACACAATACCATCCAAAATTCAAAACCTGTATCTCTGCTGCTGTTGCTCATCTAAGGGGGCAACACAGCTTTCTCCAAGGTGTGAAAATGTTGTCTTCAATGATGTCACATTCTCATCCATGAGTCTTATATCCTCCAAATCATCTTTTTTTTTAATCTCGTCTATATCACTGCAACCTTGTTTTCTCTTTGAACAAACATGAGATCTTCATGCAGCAGGCAGCACTCACCTGTGCCCCCATTGTCTGTATTTCTTTTTGCTTACTGTCCTGCCCTACTCTTCCCCTGCACCCCATCCCAGGCATGGCCTCAGTTGTGCCTATGTCATCCCATCTGTTCTTTGTTGTCCTCTGTGATTTTCCCACATCACCACGAGTGGTCCCCAACTCTCCCCCTCTCAGCCCCTCCCTTCCCACCTCCCTGCTCCTCCTGCTCAGACCCTGGGTGCTGCATAGCCAAAGCTGCTCACGCTGACTCTTGATCCTGCTATCTGGCAATGTTCCTCTTCTGCTGCTCACTGTCTCTGTCCCTGTCAACTCAGGTATCCTATTTGTCCGTCTTAGGGATCTAGACATCCCTTGGGGAAAGGAGGTAAAAGCTGTCTCTGCTCTGCTGTGCCCTGGTAGCTTAAGGTAGGCAGATGGACAATAGCTCCAGCCAGTGCCTGCCTCTTACTGCTTGATGACCATGCTGTTCTGCTGCTATTTTTAGCTGTAATCTCCTTCTCCATTTAGTAGCTAAATGCTGGTAACAGAGAACACGGCTGTGTTGCTGCTTTCCTGCACCCTCTGTGCTACCATTTCTGTCTCTGTGCATGCAGGTTATCTGTAGCACTTGATAAAACAGAGCTCCCACTCTTACACAAAATATCATCCATGGAATTTCAATTGCACTTGCCTCTGCCTCCCTTAATCCTGCTGCAAACAGAGTGGAGAGCAAAATGCACTTTAAAGTGCTTTTAAGCATCTCACAATGAAACGATTTGAATAAGGACCCAAAAGCCTCATGCACTGTGGATTTCAACTGCTCTCTTCAGTGGCATTCAGTTGAAAGGAAAGGATGCAGGGTTATCACGTGGGTGGTGATGACTGTCAATGTAAGTGGTAATCTTAATATTCCATCCAGAGAAGCAAGCCTGGCTCAGACCTGAACAGTCCAAAGCTTTCTGTTTAGTGTGTGTGTTGACTTGCCATGTAGTAAACACTGGGGTTTACTTGAAGTGCTTGCTCTTTTTGAGGAGGTGTGAGAAAGCTGAATACTGCACTCCGTTTGCAATCCAGAAACACAGGCTCACCGATTTCTGCAGGGTTTTGCTGTGCCTTTCAACAGAAATCCAACAGCACCTGAAAGTCACTTGTATCTTTGGTAACTAGTATTTTTTAATTAAAGCTTCCTTCTGTTAATGATTTTAGCAGGCACAGTGCCACATGCTCTGAGGCTTTGTGTCCTTTGTTCCTCAGCTCTCTTCTGAAAGGCCACAGCTGTACACCGCAGTGCACAGACCAGCCATATATGCCAGCTCTTCTAATTGCGGATTTGACCCTGAATCAGTCTCACAGTGCCCTCTCCTGCACCAATGTTCAGCATTACCTTCTGAGAGCAGGGACTGAAAGAACCTGTGGACAAGGAGTGCAGCAAAGGGACTGCTGATAACCAAGTCTAGTGGGAATGCTTGTGGGGATGCAGCCTGTCTTAGCATAATGCAGGTCACAGCAAAGGCAGTTGAAGTGTTTGCAAATTTGCATTTCCCATGTCTTTGCTCTTTCCATCTCTTAGGGAATTCCTCAAGACTTCCCAACAAGTTCAATAAACTCTCAGCCAAATAAAAACTTCAGCCACTGCAGGAGAGGACACAATCCTCCTCCAAGGACCTGGCAGAAGCCACCTTTTATATGCTTGCTGGTGATCAGTCTGTGATGCCTCTGACCAGCAAATGTCTGCTAATCCAAATTGCATTAGCAGCAGGCAGCTGCTTCCTTGCAGAAACACATGCAGACAACACAGCTATTTGCTCAAGGACAACCGCCTGCTTCCTGTTGCAGGACTCTGACCACAGTGTTCCCTCCTGGAGGAACACATTTCACTACAGAGAAGGTCACAGACCAGAATTAACATATGGAGCTGCACTGATTTTCGCAGAGACTTCATCTACAGTCAAAGAGAGGGCCAAGTCTTGACAGTGATGTCTGCAGAAGTACATTGGCATCTGTTGAGGTGCCTCTCCTCAATCCCTAAAACAGAAGGGATGTCATGGATGCCCATATGTCCATCCCACATCTTCTCCTGTGGCAACTGCCTTTGCATTCATGGGTCAAACTCCACAAGCACACAGTGGGGACAGCCCCAGCAGAAGGACCTGCAGCTTATGGGAAACCTGTGCTGGAGCAAAGATGGGTCTACACCAGTCCTTCAGCCCTTGCTCCTCACTGTGGAGCAAGCCAGCAGGTTGTGATGGGCATGGACTGTCTCAGCTGGTTGTGGGTTGGTTTGTCCTGCCAAGGGAGCAGGAGGCACTGCGGGGAAGGGAGCAGGACTGTGGTCTAGGTGTATGATTGATGTCTGGAGCACCTCTCTTCCTCTGATGGAGATTTCCGGAGGTGCCAGGGACAGAGCTGGAGATGGCTGTCCCTGGGAAGAAGGCATGCTCCTCTGGCTTTCTGCAGAAAAAGAAATACACAGATGTTTCACATGAGTAGCTGAAGTTGATGGAACATTACCCTATGAGAGAGTACTTCAAATCTTCCATTTTTAAGCAGAGAAACGGTAACACAAGCCCAGATGAAACTGCTATACAAGCAAGTAGGAACATTTTACTTGCAAAGTTTCCTTGTCTTAAGAACAAAAGATAAGTCATACATAAAATAATTGCCGGAAGACAGAAGAAGACAATCAGGAAAAGGTGAAGTCCTTGGCCCAGAAATGTTGTTTGGCAGTGTAGATGGCATACAGAGGAGGTGTGGTGAAGACTGTAAATCAGGAAGCTATTGGAAAAGCATGGTCCCTCCTGGGAGGCACTCACCTCGAAGTATACTGCTATTTAAGAAAACTCTGTAGAAAAAATCCCTCCTTCAGTTTATTCAGTGGAAAGCTAGGGGTAAATCAATGGTAGGGCTGGCACGTGTAATTCCCACAACAGTTTCAGGCCACCTGCATCTGGGAGGAGAGGGCTGCCATCCAGACAACAACCTCCTGCTCCACTGTGCCCAGGTCTCCACATGTGCCAGAGCTTACCCCGCACCAAGTCTTCAGGCTCCTCTGCCCTGCCCAACTTGCCGTGTGGGTCACGCACTGTGCCAAGGGCAGATTGCCTCTGTTTGATTCCTGTTTTGGCTCCGCACTGTAAGAAAAACATTGAGACTCTGGAGAGCATCCAGAGAAGGTCAACAAATCTCCTGAGGGCTCTGAAGTCTAATGGGGAACAGCTGAGGGAGCTCGGATTGCTCCATTTGGAGAAGAAGAGACCTTATTTCTCTCTGCAACTGCCTGAAATATTGTGGTGATGTAGGGGTCAGTCTCTTCTCCCACTCAACTAGCAATAGGATGAGAGGGAATGGCCTTAAGTTAACGAGGGGAGGTTCAGGATTGATATGAGGAAAATCTTTGTCTCAGAAAGACTGGTCAGGTTCTGCCCAGGGAGGTAATGGAGTCACTGTCCCTATGGGTGCTCAAGAACTGTGTAGGTATGGCACACTAAGGGATGCAGTCAGTGATGGACTGATGGTTGGACATGGTCTCTGCCAACCTTAGTGTTTCCATGATGCTATGACTCCTGCTGCAAAACAGTCATTGCAGGTTTTCCTCTTCCAGGAATCTCGTGCCATCAGCTCAGTGTTCACAGCAATCTACTTGTCCCTGATGCACAACAACTTTGCTTGCAGGAGGTAGGAGGTTCATCATACTCACTTTTGTACTCCACCAGCAAAGTGGACGTAGGTATACATAGAGTTTGTGCCTGCCAGCTGGCACTGGGTGACCAGGTCCAAGCACAGAAAGAGGATGAGGAGGTTCTGAGCCCATTAAGCAGGCAGCCACTGATCTGCGCTAACAAGCAGCTGCACAAAACCTCTCATGTCCTCCACTGCATGCCACCACCCCAGCTTCTCCTTGCTGAGTGCCAGCTAAGGCAGCAGTGGGGCCCTGGGCACACTCTGTCTCACCACAAGAGCCTGAAGACTGTGTCCATGATGTGCTTGGAGAGTCTTGTATGAGGGAAGGGAGGACCAGAAGGCAAGCATGAAAAGCAGTGTTCCTTAATTTGTAGTGGTTGGAGGAGTGCAGTCAGCCATGCAGTCCTGCAAAGTGCAGCCAGCCTTGAACACTGCACTAAATGTGCTCCCTTTCTCCAAAAGGCAACTCTCATGTTGATCTCTTCTCTGGAGTATACCAGCACACAGCTTTGTAGGATAAAGCTCTTCTTTCTTCATCTCCTCTTTTTTCCTGTTCTGTAACCCTCTATTAATAATAGCATTTAACAGTGGACACTTTTACCCAGGTGTTCTTGCTTTTATGAATCCAAAAATCTTCCTTGATGTGCTATTTTTTTTTATTCTAACGTTTCTTCAATTTTTCTCATTTCTTTCTGCTCATGACTGCAGGGCTTTTCAAAATTTGCTTCAAAATGTGAAGTGACTTCTGGACTGGTGGCTCCAGGCCAGCCTTCCATTTGTGGTGGCTAAGAAAATGTACTTATTCCCTCTGTTTTATTATGGGTCAGAGCTTATTGCAATAGCCAGTTCCACATGAAAGGAGCAGCTCTGGAATCTGACAAACTGAAATGATCGAAGAACTCAACTTCCATCTTCTTGGACAGGTAACTCCCAAGAAATATCCTTATCTTCGTTTTCATGTAATGGGTTTTTTATTCTTTTCCTCGGCTCACGTGAACTCCCCTGGCTGCTCTTTATTTGAGCAGTGTACATAAATGTACCTTCTTACAGAGGTGTATCCTACATCTTAAAAAGAAGGAAAGAGAACTTTTACAGCAGTTAACCAAAACTGAGCTGAGTTTGGTTTTTTTGTTTGTTTGTTTGTTTGTTTGTTTGTTTGTTTTTTGAGCCTTACCTGACCCAACAGGAAGAGCAAGCAGTAGAAGAGTACCAAGAGTAGCAGGGCTGAGGTGGCCCCACATCAGCCAGCACGCCCTGGAGCAGTGCCTCAGTAGGTGTGTATAGGAAGGCTGTGTGCAGCAGCAGTACCCAGTGTATGGAACTTACAGATATGAGGATAAGATATGGGCAAGTAAATAATTATGGAATGCAAAATGAAAATGGCATTTTGGAGAAAAAGGGCATGTGGCTAATTAATTGGCCTCAGAAGGATTTTGCCTTGTGACTTCAGAGCAGTCTCAAAGCAGGGTTGGGGAACATGCAGATAATGAAATTTGCAAAACCAAACACCAGGAGCACACAGAGGCCCTTTTGCCAAAACCACAGACTAATTCTGTGTAAAGCAGGTGTATAAATAAAAGTGCAAAATGTGTAATTGTATTTATGCATACACGTATAATACATTTAGTGTAAACTGGATACATGAAAAAATCCATGGATAACTACAGGAAACTGCAGAAGCTGCATGAAGCAGGTGAGTAGTGCTGACTCTGAGGTGGTAAAAGCCCCATGTTAGCTTGTGGCTAAGCTACCTTTCTGACCCAGAGTGTCGCAAACCCTGGCCTGCTTGCTGCTCCTGACCCCCCAGACTGGTGGTATTCTCCAGTGACACTTCCTTCCATCCACTGGACAATGGTGTGCTGAGCACCAGCTGCCCACAGCACCTAGTCCCACACTGGAGGTCATTTGATCATACTGGGAGAGCTCGTGGGTCTGCAGGGCAACAGCACAGCTCCCCAGGGCGCGCAGCCGGGTAGAGAGAGACAACACCTAGACTCTGCTCCTTGCAGGAAGGGTCCATACAGGAGTCAGGCTCCAAGATCTCTGTATCACAGAAGAACCACTGATGTCATTTGTCTGGCCTTTGACACGGTCCCCCATAACATTCTTCTCTACACATTGGAAAGGTATGGATTCTATGGATGGACTGTTTGATGGACAAGAATCTGGTTGTGAGATCATAGCCAGAGAGTGGTGGTCAATGGCTCAGTGTCCGGATGGAGATCACTGACAAGTGGTGTCCCTCAGGGATCAGTACTGCGCTCTTCAACATCATCAGTGATATAGACAGTGCAATTGAGTGCACTCTCAGCAAGTTTGCGGATAACACCAAGCTGAGTAGTGCCTTAACATGCCCGGGGGACAGGATGCCATCCAGAAAGAACCAGGTAGACTCAAGCAGTTATCTCAAGAGAATCTCTACAAAACCAAGGGCAGTGTCCGCACCTGGGCCACAGAAGCCTCCACTAGCAACATGTTGAGCTGGAGCTGAGATTAAAAGGTTTTATCCTCCCTGTCCTGATTTATTACCAAGTGGTCATAGTGACTTACATGTCAACCACATCAAAGTCTTTTCCTCCTTCCTCATAACTCACTGCCACTAAGGACAGATTTGCCACTGATCTACAGTACTTCATATGATGCAAACACATTAAAAATCCTTGGAGGGTTATGACATCCTCATTTGACATTTTGTTTACACTGGCATGAAAGTGTCATTAAATGAAGGGCAATTCAAGTCTTGGTTCTTTTTTGTTTGTTTTTAATTTTAGTTTTCAAAAAGCTGAATGCCTTGTTGTATATGAAAATAGAAGTGCAGTAGATTTTAATGTAAATTACAGGGGAGGGAATCAATCATTTAAGTCCCAAAACACATTTTGCTCTCCTCCCTTTCTAATAGAAAGTCTATTAAGAAAATTCTCCAAAAAGCAAAGCATTATTTTACTAAGTATACATATATAAGAAACAGCTCTTAGCTCAAAGCAATGTTTGTGCATTCATTTCTGTGTCTTTGAATGGAGACAGTTGAAACAGGAAAGCAATTTCATAGCCACAGCTTTTTTTGTGTGTGCATAAATAATCCATTGTTTTGTTTCACTCAGCAACTGACTCAAGGTTGAAAAGAACAGTAGAAAAGCCTGTTTTCCTCTGTTCACTGTCCTCTATTCTCAGTATGAATCAAAACACTGTGTGGAAGACAAACCTCTACTAGTTTGGAAATATCAGTGGGAATTTTAATAAAAAATTCTCAGTTCAGTTCTTTAACTGCAGCTATCATCCACTTTGTTTTGAAAAATAGAAGTTCAGTATAAAATAGTAAAATGAGCCATCATTGCCCTGACTTCTGAGGATTTCATGTTCATCAAAGTAATAATGTGATGAACCAAGTGCTGAAAGAGCAGCACTATCACCATCCCTTACCCAACCATCGTGACTCCAGAAAGATCTGGGGCTGACCCATGAAAACCATCTCACCCCCTCACTGTTTTCATGTAGCTGCCTGGAAGGAAAGCCAGGAAAGCTTTTATCATTATTGAATGTCTCCACCCTATATCTAGCTTAAGTCTTGTTTGAATCACTGGAATGGTTCCTCTGCTTTTCTGCTTGCTATCTGTCCATATGCTGTCTCCTTCAGAAAGACCAGGGGCCTGAAAAAATACACGAGGAGAGGAGAGGAGAGGAGAGGAGAGGAGAGGAGAGGAGAGGAGAGGAGAGGAGAGGAGAGGAGAGGAGAGGAGAGGAGAGGAGAGGAGAGGAGAGGAGAGATTAGTGGGGGGAGTTTGTTTGGGACGTGATCTTGCTTTGGTACGTGCCTACATTCATGCCCCCAGAAGCACAAATGTGCTCTGGGTCGGTGGTGGGAATGAGCTGTTTTTTATTGTAACCCATGAAAACACAGCCTTTTGAAAGTGACAGGTAACAGTGACTTTCAACTGTAGGAGCGAGGTCAATTCATGCCAGAGCCAGAGAAATCTGCACATTAGCCACTTCTTTAGCTGTATGTTGTCATTTAACCCAGCAAGCAGCTCAGCACCGTACAGCCCTCAGCTCACTCCCCTCTTCTTCTGGGAGGATGGGGAAGAGAACTGGTAAAAAAAAAGTAAAACTCCTAGGTTGAGATAAAATCTATTTACTAAATCATAAAAGGAAGATAGAAATAATAGCAATGATAATACTGTAATACGTAACACTATTAAACGCTATTAACACTGTTTCACTCCTACAACCAAAACATAGCAGCATATCTGATTCTATGAATAAAATCAAGTCTGTCCCAGCTGAAACCAAGATGCTATAGCAGTTGCCACAGCCCTTCTCATGTCCAACACAAAACAAATACTGACAAATAAATAGGCTGACTTCCTACCTCGCTGTTTTGCTAGCTTGCTTTCTCAACCAGAGGTGCAGTGTTAATCTCTAACCTCTTTCCATTCAGAAATACAACCTGTTGTCTCCTCCTCACATGCACAGAAATATCGGGCGCAGCAAATAACTTGAAGCACTGCACAACTGTGGGCTTGGAGTGGAAAGAAAAGAATCTCAGTGTTGAAACTGTCATGAGCTGAAGGTAGTAAGATGTCAGCAGGCAGCCAGGTTATTGAGGTTAAATCTTGCTCTATGCTTCAGATATTAAACTGTAGCAAAGCAGCGTGTTTAGTGCCAGAAGGAAGTTAGTCTGGGGCAAAGTCCTTCCTTCATTTTATTATCTCTGTTGTAAAGCAGTGTTATTACAGAATTGTTGAACAGATGTTTCTAATTTTCACTCCATGTAGAGGCGAATTAAATTCAAGCTCTACTGCTATTATTCTGCGATTATCCGAGCAAGTTCATTCTTTGTTTCAGCGAGCTGAAGTGTTTCTTCCTACTGCAACTTTCTTGCCAACATTTGCTTCCTTTGATTCTTTCCATCATGTATGTTATAAGAGCCTCAACTTACAAGACATTCTCTAGTCTCTTTTCCATTCTCTTAATGAGCTTCTGCTCATACTTTAGATTTGTAGCCATCTGTCCATAAGACACCCTATCTAACAAGGTTTCTGCAAAGGATTTGGGCTAAAATCCTGCATGTGTTCCTAACATTGGTGGCTCGGCCACCAGTGGTTATATGTTCCTTCTGAGTCTTGTAAGGTGGCTGATAAAGTAACGTGGACCAGAATGTTATTTGAAGACACTTGCTTTTACAGAGGAATCATCTGGTAGACTAAAAAATATGTCATTTTCAAACTGAAGTGTATTAAAATGCTTAATTAATTATGATTCTTTGTCTTCTCTGGTAATAATGCCATCTTGCTTTTTTTTTTTTTTTTAAAGGCACCACTTTACATAAACATTTCCTGAAAAAATAATAATCTATAAAAAATAATAATAATAATCTAATATTCACTTTTTTTTTTCTCTGCAGATTTATTGTTTCATTTTTTTCAACCCGAAATATACCATGACAAGATCTAGGGATTTCTGTGGAGTTTGTTGGAGTACTCCTCCTCACGAGAAATGTAACAAAGGGGTTTTTATCTCTTTTTATAGGAGACAGGTCTTGCACCTGGGTCAGGAGAACCCCCGCAACCAATACAAGCTGGGGGATGTAAGGATAGAGCACAGCCCTGCCAAAGAAGACCTGGGGGTACTGGTGGATGGCTGTGAGCCAGCAGTGTGCCCTCACAGCCCAGAAAGCCAACCGTATGCTGGGCTGCAGCAAAAGCAGAGTGCCCAGCAGGGTGAGGGAGGTGATCCTGCCCCTCTGCTCTGTGCAGGTGCACTGCAGCACACCTGGAGCATTGCAGCCAGGTGTGGAGCCCTCAGTACAGGAGAGACATGGACCTGTTGGAGCATGTCCAGAGGAGGGCCACAAAAATGATCCAAGGGATGAATCCCCCTCTCTACAGAGCTGAGGCTGTTCAGCACAAAGAAGAGCTTTGGAGAGACCTGGTAGCAGCCTTTCAGTATCTAAAGGGGAGCTACAAGAAAGAAGGGGACAGACGCTTTAGCAGGGCCTGGGGTGATAGAACAAGGGGAAGTGGTTTCAAGATTAAAAAGGGGAGATTTAGGTTAGATATGTCTTTTACAGTGTTATAGGTTATTAGACTTTTATAGTGAGGGTAGTGAGGCACTGGCACAGGTTGCCCAGTGATGACAAGGCGTAGATCTGCATGTCTCTGTTCATTGCAGGAGAGCTGGACTAAATGACCTTTGAAGATCCCTTCCACCTCCAAGAATTCTGTGATGATTCTATGATGATTCTGTGATGAATATACATACAATAACATACGTTAGTACTACTGTGCAAATCACAAATATCTCATTATTGTTCCCTTAACAGCAATTCTAATAACATGAAACATTTTTTCTCACAAATATTTCCAAAATCTCAGATCACACACACACAAAGATTACAAACAACTTCGCAGAAAATCTTAGCAGATATTCTGTTGTTCCATTTGGTCAGTTTGTGCTTGTGAAGATGATAAAGGAGCCTATAAAAACATAGAGTTATTTTCTAAAGGTGAACCTTCCTCTGAATTTGCAGTTTGGTAATAAGAGAGAATGTAAGAAGATGTGTTGTTGGATCTCTCCACTTCTCTCCCAGGCCAAGACACTGAAAATTCTTAGTTTTGTTTCTGGACTCTTCAAGGAAAATGGCATTGAAGACTCTTGTTTTTGATTCATGGAGTATTGGTCATGCTAAGTCTGCAGTCTTCTTGAGAAGCTGTGCCTGAAATTGTAGGCATTTATTTTAAAACTGACAGCTGCTTTTAAAAAAAAAAAAAAAAAAAAAAAAAAAAAAAAAAAAAAA